TTAAATTAATTTTTAATCTTCTTTTATGAGTTCATTAATATCAGGCATTTCGATATATTAGAAATCATCTGGATTTTCTACATCTTCGTTAGGATTAGCTTGTGGAATACCTTTTAAATTATCATGATATAAAATTAATTTCTATCTAACTCCAGTTGTTTCATCTAAAATAAGTGATTCTGTCTGTTGTTGTTGCTTTTGATTAAGTTTCTGTTGCTCTCTTTCCTTTTCAAGCATGTAAAAAAATTCCTATACTATTCCTATACACCTAAAAAATATAGACATTATAATTATTGATTAGATAACCCAACTAAGTGCCATTCTTTTTGAGAAAAATATGAAATCTTCACCTAGGTAATCAAATACAACCCATGCACTCATTAAGAGCAAAAAGCCAGATAAAAAAAATTCTGATGTAACCATCCAAACGTTGTTTTTGCCGTATTCATAAGGAAGTTTGGAAGAAATCAAACCCATAAAAATGATCTAAACAACTAAAACAAATATCATCTGGAGCATTTGCTTGTTATCCAGAAAAATTATAAAAATAGCCATAATTATTTTTCTTAGCATAAAAAAGATGTTGAAATTTCTCTTCAAGACAGCTTTAAGAATTAAACCTTCATATAAACTACCTTTTGTATTTAATAAAATGAATAAGTTTATTTTTAAGAAATAAAATTTCTGATTTTAGTTTTTTTAAAAATACTAAAAAAGAAATCATTTTTTAATTTATTTTTTAAATTGAGAAAATTAATCATTAAATTTTAAATACAAAAAATGCAATTTATAATTTAAATTTTTTTAATTTTTAAATTAATATTTTACCATATTTATCCTTGGTTTGTTATTCTGCTAGAGGAATAGACTATCCAATATTCAATACATAAGAAAAGGCTAAAATAGAACTAGTATAGAAAACTATAGTGACGATGCATGTAACAATATTTATAACACCTGTGAAGTTTTTAAAGAAAAGAAAGGCACTAATAAATATTTAGCAACAAGATATCAAAGTTCCTCTAATAAGCAGGGAGAATTAGGCAAGATTACGGAGAACTCCTTGAATCCTAAATCTGGATTAAGGACAAACTATTAATGATGTTAGCATGAGCAAAATACCTGTTCCTACAATGAAAAGTGGAAAGAATGAGTTGAGAATGAAATAAGAGGTGTACTAATTTTGGATAAATGGGTATGGTAAATTAGTTATTGCTGAAGTAGATGGATTTTCAATAGCATGTTGCATAAAAGAAGTATTTTAGTACTTGTTTATAAAGTCTATGTACCAAAAATTTAGAATATTACATTGCTTAAGTAATTTGCTAACATTTTCAAAGTGGTTTGTATCCAAAAAGAGGAACAAATTGTATAGCTGTATTAGATCTACAAAGGCCCAAAAAAGATTAAGTCCTTCTTTGAGGTATCTAAAGGTATAAATGATAAAATAAAGCCCGCAGAAGATGCAAATGACAATAAAAAGTATTAATTTCATCACATCAATTTCTGAGTTTTAGTAACTTTCAAAGAAGACAACTGGCCCCACGCTAACAGATATAGTGTAAGAGTCCAAGCTTAAATAGTTAGAATTTTAGTCATGAATTGCATAAGGATTGATGAAATAGAGATAGAGCTATTTTACATAGATACTAGTCTTATAATTTATCTTTATTTGAAATAAACTATTAGATACCTTAGTAATAACTTACCAAGTAAAATCTACATTATTTACTAAATTTTTTAGCTTTATATCAATTGCATTCTACAAAATGTCGGTTGTAATTGTTGGTAAATCTGTTGAAAATTGCAAATTTAACAAAGTAGAATCTAAAACATAATTGTTTTAATTTTAATAAAAATTAACAGTGATTGTCTGCTATTTTATAGTGTCAGAAAACACGGCTTGCAAGAAATAAGTCGCTATTATAAATAATAATTGAAGGGGAGTTTTCTTCATTAGAAATAGTTTATTGATTTAAAAAATATTTTCGGAATTCTTTTGTTTTATTGTTGCTGCTTTAGCTTTTGTTAGCTCTTTTTTGATGCAAAAGAATGTAAAATTAAATAATTTCTTTATTAAGCTTTGAAATAAATGCAAAAATTTATATTAAATTATATTTTTTATTAATTTTCAACTGAAAAAAGTGATGTAAACATAAACACCATACAAAAAATATTCATCTATAAATTAGAATACTTAAATAAATTAAAGTATCTCATTTAATAATTAATAAGTATATTTTTGCCTGAATTACTCTTTAATCGATGAGAATTTGAAATAAGTATTTTCATTAAAATGGAATTTTAAACTTTTAAAGGACCACATTAAATAAGATATTTGACTAAATTTCTAAATCAAATGCATTCAACAATTCTTAAAAACTAGATTAAAAATATTTTAAATTTTGAATTTAAAAATAATATTTACCTTTAATCATTAACTTATATTGTTTGAATATAAGGCTTATCTAATAAAATTTGTATTAGCTCATTTATTTCTTCAATTTCTGCCTCATATTAATTACTCCTGATAAATATGTTAAAGATCTACTTCAAAAAATAAAAAAATATTTGAAATAAAATTTACCTCAAATTAATCTCAAAATTAGACAAATTCTGAGTATTTTATTTAATTATTTATTTAAGAAAAGAAAATCCTTTTTAGGATATATTGTTGTTGCTATTTTTTAAATAAATTAAAAATTATTTTTACTTTTTAAAATCATTTTAAATTTTACTTAAAAACCAAATAAAGATCATTAATACAAATTGCATATTTTAAGCAGCTGATTAATTTAATAAAATTTTCATCACTAAGTCTAACAGCACTATTTGTTATAAATAAACATTTTTAAATTAATTTCTGTTATAAAATTTTTTATTTTTTTACGCCAAGTCTACATAAAAGCTATTAATTCTTGATAAAAATCCTAAGTCTAAGTTAATTTCATTATTTTTAAATCCATTATTACCACTTTTAAAAAATAAATTAATTTTATCAATAAATTAAAAGAAATTTATTTACGTCAAATATAAAGCTAGCTTAGAGAGATTAATCAGGTTATTACTTATACACTAGGTTATTAAAAATATACTTTCCTTTTTGATAATATTGTATGAAAAATCTAATAACAATTCCTTAAGTTAAGTTTTATTGGACAAATTGTCTACTAAATTAGTCACAAATTTATCTGAAATATGGTTATTACCAAACAGTAATTCCAAATGCTAAATTTATTTGTTAGCCTTTATAAAATAAGGTAAAAAGCAACTATCTCCTAAGTTATTATGTCTATAAAAAATTAAGTAATATTCAAAAAAAAAAAATTACTTCAAATCTACATAAAGAAATTCTAAATTAATTAGTTCATTAATTTTCAACTAAATATCCTTCCATAAGCTTTAAATATTGTTTTGTTTTCTAAAAAATATTTGTAAATTTAAATCTTATTATTTAAAAAAGTATTTACTTCAAAGTCAGAGATATTTTTTTTAAATGAGTATTTGATATTAATTTGGTGATTAATTGCTTACAAGATTCAAAATTCTTAGATTTAAAACCTTCTTCTCTTAAAAAACAAAATAAATTTTAGTTAATTACTTAAAAGTATACTCGAATTCAACATTAAGTTCTGTAACCTAAACAATCTCATTATCTATAAAGTTATCAACTTGTATTTCTTTTTGAAAGCAATCTACTAATCTTTTTTTTGAGGTAATAAAATAAAAATCTACATTGAAATTTAAATAATTTTAATTATTTTACTATATCCTGCACACTCCAATCAAATTTGCCATTGTTTAGATTTTTTTTTTGATAATTAATTTTTAATCTTGAGTAAATAAATAAATAAATTTCCTTATTTTAGTAAATTATTTTTAAATATTGTTCATATTTTCAAAAAATAATTTATGTTTCATAAAAAACCTAATTTAACAAATTAAATTTATTTAAAATTTAAATTTTTCCAAGAGAACGAAAATTAAATTAGATCTTAAACAAAAACATTTTTAGTTTATATTAATCATAATTTTAGTTACAAGAAGTAAAAGAGGAAGTTTATTATTACCACTATATGTAAATTTTATTTATTAAATATTATAATTTCTCATATAAATAATTATAATCATTAATTATTTTTTAATTAATAATCAGGTATTATTATTTTTATTGTAATAGAATTTTTTAAATTGACAAAATGTACTGGTTAAAAATATAAAAATAAAAAGTGAAAAATCATTATTTTCTACAATCATTAAAGCCTTAAAACTCCAAAAAAGTGATTTCAAAAATTCATAATGAGAAAATTTTAATGATTTTCCTGATGAATCTTTCAAAAACCCTGTTTATAAAACAATTTCAAAGTTTTATTAAATAAATATTTAGCAAAAATAATAATAAAATATGTGTATAATAAATAGATAATAAAACCAAATTTTAAATTGTTTACCATATAAAAAAAGTATAAAATAAAATTTTGTAAATCTTTTATTAAAAATATTTATTGGTGGAAATAAATAAATATCTTTGAATAATATCTGGATACTCCACAATTAATTTCTTTTATAAAATAAATAAAAAGGTACCTTGTATTATTAATTACCAAACATTAGACTTCCTTATAAAAAATTTTCTTAGAATCATTTTTAATAAAAATTCAAATGAACATTAAAGAAGAAAGTTATGAATTGCGTTTGCTTAATTTTTAGAATCAAAGCTTATTCAAGAAATTCAAATGAAAAATCTGAAATGCTTTTTTATTTAATTGAAAAGTAAGATGTAATACAAAAATAAAGAGTCTTTTCTAATTAATTGTTTAATACATTAGTACCTGCTAATTTTAACTTGGTTATGAGCTATTAATTTATTAATTTTAATGTTAACTTCAAATTTACTCACAATATTTTTGTTAACTATTTGTTTAATATGCTTTTTATATCAATCAAAAAAAAATTAAAAATCTTCAAAGATTTCAACATTAATTAAAAAAAAGTTTTATCAAAAGTGTTAATAAATTACTAAATAACATCGCTTTCTACAAAATTCAATTCAAAAAAAATTCTAAATCTTGAGATTTATTTATTTTTATGGCTATCGATTAAACAAACGGGCTGATAGCTTTGTCAGCTGTTAGCGGTTTATCTTTCATTACAAGTTTGACAGTAATTTTGGTGTATATTTTTAACAGAAAATTTCGTTGCTTCTCCCACGATTTAGTGATAATGCTTTGCGCAAGTGATTTATTGTATTGTTTTGTAGCTTTATCTAGATCTATTTGGATGCTTAGTGATAGCAACGCTTATATTGATGGAGCTCTGTGCTACATTCAAGCCGTTTATATATAGACTTTCGATATAAGCTCATGCATATGCACTACAAGTATATCTTACTCACTATACTTGCAGATGGTTAAAGAAGTAAAATTATACAAATAATCTGCATTCAAAATGTTTTGGAAAAGAAATTATCTGATACCATTCTTGTGCTCTTTAGTGTTCGTAGTATTTAATTTAGTAGGGCATAACGATCCTTACAAAGAAACTTACTGTACAGTGTGTAGTGATAACCCTATGATAACTTAAATATTGTAGATGATATATTTTTACATACCACAAACAGTTGGACTTATCTTTAATATAATTATGATTTACAAAGTACTTAAAGCCTACTTTTAAAATAGATAAAAATATAGAAATATTTCATATAGCGAAATAATGAAGCTGGTGTTTTATCCTTTAATCCTTTTATTTTGCTAGATACCTCTAATTCTAATAAGAATAATCGAATATTCTGGTCAATACTTTGAAGATGCCACTATAGTTTTATACGTCCTAAGTCAATCAATAGGATTTTTGAACTCCCTTTTTTATGCTATAGTATCTTTAAAGATGTTTGGCTGCGAATGTGTGAGCTCATCTAAATATGAAGATGAAGATTTGAAACAGCGTTTAACCTAAAGGCAAAACAAGAATTTTAAATATATAGAATCAAATCTATCTATTGATAACTAAAACACTAGAGCAGAAACTAAAGTACTATCATAAGAAGATAATTTGGAGTGGGATGAATGACTGACTATTGATTAAAATGAATCAATTAAAATAATTAAATATTCTATTTAATAAAAGATTTAACAATTATTAAGAAAAAAATATTCTTTTTCTAAATCAAATTTAATAAATAAATATTTATAGATCTAAAGTAAATTTAATTGACTTAATTATTTGTTAACGCTTATAAAATCTATCATCGTAGATTATATTCTACAAAACTAAAAAGAGATGAAAATGAATTGATAATTATTAAATATTTAAGAAATAATTAATGTATAAAATTTAATATAAACATGAAAAAACATTATTCTAAAAAACTAAGTTATTAATTAATTACTTTATATTATATTTTAACAATTTGTATGTATTTTAATTTTTATTTGTTCATTTTATATTTTATTAATTTAAATTGTTTTTTTTAGTTACTATTTTATTTTTATAGTTGTTTGTTTGTATTATTTACAAGAAAAAGTGTTTAAAAGTGTTTTTTTTAGATATGATTTATTTGAATAATTTTTGTGATGTTACTATTTTTATAAATAAATTTATTTTAAATACTTAGCTCATACTATAAGCAAGAAGTCTTAGTTTCCTACCCAATTCTTTTTTTATGTATCTCTATATTAGTGGTTTTTAGCAGTTGTTTTAGAAGGGGTTTAATTAACGTAGTTAGGAATGAAATTTGGGTCAATATTTGAATGTACTTTTGATTTTTGTATTGAAAAAACAAAACTTTTTGGGCCTAAATTCTTTTACGATTCTTTTCTATAGTTTTCTCTATACAGCTCTTCTTGGGATTTATAAGGGTCATTATTAAGTATAGATGGTATTTTGGAGATATTTGAAGATAAGCTCTACTATGAACCTTTCCTAGAGAGCACTGAGGAAGATCTAATCTGATTGTTTAAGAGAGATTTCTCTTCTTTAATTTGCCTATGAAAATGACCTTTAAATAGGTCGTCTTATTTAACTCTAATTGCGTGCTTTCTTTCCTTAGACTTCAAAGAGCCTGGTATCCATTTTGTAGTCTCATAGAGATATTCTTTATTTAAAAATGGGTGAAGATACCTTCTAACTTATTCTCTAGTAATTGGTTCTTCCTCTTCTAGCAACTCCTCATCGTCACCTAGTCCTAGTTCTTGCAAGCGTGCCTAAAGCAGCTACTCAAAAGAAGGCAATCCAGATTGATCATCTTACTTTGGTTGGCTAGAATTCCCTCTAATCTTTTGATTTTCTTACTAATTTATTTTATCTCTGTATTCTTTGAGAACTTTAGAGCCTCCTTCTTCGTGAATGCTCATGAATCTCTTTTTCAACTTTATTTGAATAAAATTATTTTCTATGGCTTTATTTTATTAAAAGATTTATTTACATTATGCAAATCTTAAGATGAACTAGCTTTCACTATTTGATTTCCAACGGCATTTTAAGAAACTATAATTCCTATATTTTTTGATGTAGCAGCAAAGCCACTATTTCTGAATGTTCTATTTGAAGATTATTTTGCAGAAGATGTTCTTTCACCTGCGATTTTATCAAACTTTAGCGATCTTTAATTTTTAGCTTCATCTCTCAATCTTATGTCTCTCATTATATCTGCAGAAGATACAGCTGAATTAACATTTAAAATAGAAATCTTAGACTATCTATTTTCAGATATCATAAGAAGCTTATTGTAAATGAAATTCTTTAAAGGGATAAGAGATTCAAAATATTTTGGAATGACTTCAAACTAGCACCCCATAATGTAGTCTCCAAACTAAATAATCAAAGGACCTGAGTCAGATTCAGCTAAAGTCACAAAAGTAGTTTCAGAGTTCGTAAAAGAAAAAGGGTGAATATCCCACTTGCTCTTCTTCTAGATTAAAAAGTGAGTACCTGGCAAATCTTAAAAAGCCCAGTGTAGAATATATTGCTTCTTAACATAGCAAATAGATTCCGTATTCTTTGAGACATATTAACTACTAGTATTAGAGCTCTCAATATTATTTTTAGGTCTATAAATAGGTGCTTTTAATATGTAAAAAATATTTTCTTAAATATCAAATTTGACTTATAAATTTCTAAAATATAGACTTTTAATTTATTTAATCAGTTAACTATTTTTAGAACAAGTTAAAATTCTAAAAATGGAGGATTTTTTGCATTAATTAGGTATTGTGCTTTATTAAAAATACTAGTTTATTTACCTTTGATTAGGAATTTTCCTATAGTTGAATAAGTTTGAGCAGCTAGTGTATTGTGGAAACCTGTATTTATCTTAGTAGACCATTCTTATTTGTCATTGCTAAATTAATATAAATCGCCTGTGGTGTTTTCCAAAAAAAAATCCATATTTGATAAATGCTAGAACTAACTAGAGAATTAAGGCATATCAGTGAGACGACCACCTTCATCTCCATTAATTATATTGACAGAGCGATCAAAATTAGTTGCAGACTAAAAAACTAGAGTTTCCATTCCAAAACTACAAGCGAATAAGAATTTATGAGTTCTTAAGCACATTCTAACTAAAATTTGTACATTTTAGCATTTTTTACTCCAAGGTCGTAAGTAAGGATCACCAGTTATAAAAATCATATCAAAATTATCAAAATTTCTTCCAGATGATGTTTTAATGCTTGTGCTGGTTGATTCATATAAAACATCATCAAGTTCATTAATCTTTCTAATTACAAATTCCGTATCCATATCCACGATAATAGTCTACTCCATAAATATCTTTTAAACTAAATATCTAAATCCTAAGAAAGACTAGAGTCCTTCTTTTGTATCAGGATAACCATTAACTATTAATATCTTCATAAAATTTAAAGTTCACCCACCAATTTAGTATGTTTGTAATAAAGCTTATTTTAACAAAATTAATGTTTTTAGATAAATCTATCTAATTGATTTCTATATCTTTTTTGTATTTTTTCAACTTTTTGCTAACAATACATATGAATTAAAGTTATAATTTTAATTTTAAGTTAGCTAATCACTGATGTCCACTAAAATTTTTTTATCTTTCTTAACAAAAAATCATTATCCATTAAAAATAAAAGTAATAATAAATCTTTTATTATAAGTAATCAACACAACACAGCACAGCACAACATTGCTTAGATTTAAATTTCTCAATAAATTAAATTCTTTGTAAAAGTTTATAAATAAATAAATAATTTTAATTAATTTAGTTATCAATTCTTAAATAAAAAATTGTAAGTGTTTGCTTTAAGTAAAAAATATTTGAAAGTAGAAAATTTGAGATCTAATATGATATTTCAGTGTAAATAATATTAGTAACTTCAAACATTTAGAGTTTCTTTTCTGATAATTAGAAAATATTGTACTTGAATTATTATTATTATTATAATAATAATTGATTAAGTGTAATAGAAGACTATAATCTAAATTTAGAAATATTCGAAGTCAATTTACTTCTTTCATTTTAAATTCAAAATAAAATTTGGAATAATAATTTTTCTTTTCCTATTTTTGTTTGTAAAAAGAAAAAAATATTTTTAAATTGATTGAAAATGTGATTAAATAAATTTGAATATTTATAATGGTTTATTTTAGCTGATAATAATTTTGAAATATCAATCATACAAATCATATAGAACTTGATGTGGATTATTGACTATGTAGAAACTTACATTATTTTAAAAAGCAATAATTTAATGTTTGATTTTTTATAACATAGTAACATATTTATTGTATGTAATGTATTAAATATTTGAAATATTATTGCATTTCAAGGTTATTCCAAATGAGCAACCATTTTTTAATAACTAATGGAATATTTTATAATTTTAATTTTCTGACCATGATTGAATTTTAACTTCTTAGATACCATCAACAATCTACTGCGAATGGTTTATGTATTAAAGTTATTGCAGATCCTAGAGATTAATTATTTTATTTTTACTAATACTTTACTAGATGTATGTACGTTAGTAAAGCTATCCCTTGAATATTATTTGTGCGTTTCTAAAATTGTGGAACAAGCAGTTTATAATCAAAGATATTTTAGGCTGCTAATCTCTTTAATTAAAGAAGTGAACGAATTTCACTCTTGCAAATAATTTCTTATCTCCCAAATCTTTGATCATCAGATCTTCTAATTGCTTTGGAGAATTTATTTCTAAACACAATCTATTCTTACCAAATAAAAACCTCTTTTATTATATGTAATAGCCGTACAGATACACTAAACTCATAACAGAGATAGCTATTATTATACAATTTATGAAGCAGTAGTAGAACGTTATATAACTCTACTTAAAATAAAGAAATTTCGAAATTCTGTATATGTACAAAGCAATAATTGCTATCTTTTATATTATCCAAAATTAGTGCCTTTTGTAAAATGGTATGAATCCTAATTCAAGCACTTTTGAATGAGCTATATTGGAAGCATCTAATTCAATATATATTGGTGCAAATATAAACATAGACCTAACAGAAAAGCAGAGGTAATAAAATAAATATGCCAAACAGTAGAAAACTAAGTAACCCAGAATAGTATATAAAGACTATAATGACAATAAGATGAATGCTAATAACAAAGCGATAAAAGACAGAATGTGCAAATTAGCAAGAGCAAACTATTTCTGACAAAGATATTCTACCAAGCTTTAGCTTTCTTGCTTGGGGTTATAGTCTTTATATCTTAGCAGTGAGAGTGAAAAAGCATAAGAAAAAACAAAGAGTAGAATATAAAAGTCAGATAATAAATAATTTTTTTGTCCTAATGATATCAAATAGCTCATATATTAAGCGTAATTAATAAATAGATTGCTTTCTATGAGATAATTTGATCTCTCATATATAATTTCTTGTGTGTACTCTGGATATTTTGTGAAGAGATAAACATAATCAATATCAAATATCATCATGATGTATAAAAAAAATATATTTTCAGATTATTTCACTCTTTGAGGAATTTTATGTCTAAATTTAGCTACTTTACAGCTTAATAAAGTCATACTTATTACAAACTATACAGTAATATTCTTTATAAGCTTAAAGTGGACATAAAAATTAATAATCGTTTGAAAAATAGGGATTATTAGGAAGGCTATTATGATCAAATGCATAGTTCTCTCCAGAATATTATATTAATGAGCCATATCAATAAATTAGCTATATAGATTGCCCCTTCTGGAAACATTGAACATTTTACTTATTGGTTTTTAAGCAATAGGAATATCGTCATAGTTATTGTTTGATTTCAAAATTGAAGACTAATTTGCTTCACTACTAGATATCATTGTACTTGTTTGTTTGTTTGTTTATTTGTCTATATTTTATAATCTTTTAATCTTCGCTTTATTTTTTAATTTTATAATTACATTACTTTAATATAGTAGAAACAGTAAACAAAAGCAAATGTAAATCTGTAAATTTTACACTAAAATATGATAGCAATCATTAATAAATAGCTGGCAAATTTTTATCATTCAATTTTTTCATTACATCTTCTCATTACATATAAATTTTTAAATTAATCATTCTCATATATCAAAAAAAACATAAAAAATTATTGATTTTAAACCGATAGAATTTTAAAAACAATTTATTTTTTAATTTAAAAAAGTGTTAATAAGTATAAAATCACAATAGTCAGACTGACAAAATTTACTAACTCTTTTTAATTTAAAATGATTCATAAAACAGATAAAAAATCTTCAGCTAAAAATAAATAAATAAATAAATAAATAATAAAAAAATAAAAAAATAAATAAATAAGTAAATACATTGAATCTTTTAAATAATGTTGAAATAATGTAAAAGCTTTTTATTAATTTATTATTATTATACTTTAGATTGAATCTTTAATTAATGTAAATTTGCAGTTTTAATATTTAAAAATTAAATAACTAAATAAATGAAATTTTATTTGAAGAAATACTAGAATCAGTGTTAGGAGTTGAGTGATAATCTTGTATTTTAAATATCCTTTTTTCTAATAAAGTTTAGTTAGCTTAGATTTTTAAATAGAGTAATTAAAATTACTTAAAATATAATTTTATATTTATTTTTTTTCAATATAAATTAATATAGTTCGAACCCTAGAAGCATTTATGAATCTAGAAACTATTAAATTATTTAAAAACTGTGTAAATATTGTTAAAATAAAGGTTAATTTTAATAAAGTCAATTATTTATATTTAAAAACAATTTTCGAAATATTTTGATTGAAAACTATTTTAAAAGTATTTTACTATATTTTTATAAGATTTATTTTTTAAATTAAACATATATATTTGGATCTAATGGTGAAATTTTTTGGTTACAATTTAATCACTTGCTGATAATTATCATTAAATAGATTTAAAATAAAGTCTTATTATTTTATGAAAATTATGAACCTTAGATATTTAATTGTAGCAATTAAAAAAACTTAAATGAAATTCTTTATTTAATAAATACATATCCCTATAAAAATGATCTAATTGATATTATATTAATTTTTTTGATGATTAATCTATATTATATATTTTGTTTATTTGATAAAGTCTTTTCATGAATAATTAAAGTAGAGTTTGAAAAAATACTTTTGATTAGCTTTAACTGAAAAACAATAATTGTTTCCAATGTATTAATAGCTTTAATGAATTTTTTATGAAGTTTTTAAAAAATAATTAAAAGGGGTTGATACAAAAATTAATTATTATTTATAATTTAAATAAATTCATATATCCTAATAGAATTTTTTAAAAATTTAGCAGTAGATTGTTAAATCACAAATATGTTTTACATAAAATTATTACTTAGAGCCTAAGCTAGTAAATATTTTCTGTTTAGTTTATTGATTATTTTCAAATTGAACTAAATTTTGAATGATTTTTTAATTGCTTTCATTAAATTTATCATAAAAAATTTAACAAATTAATATAACAATAATTGTTTCCAATATATTAATAGCTTTAATGAATTTTTTATTAAGTTTTTAAAAACTAATTAAAAGGGGTTGATACAAAAATTAATTATTATTTATAATTTAAATAAATTCATATATCCTAATAGGATTTTTTTAAAATTTAGCAGTAGATTGTTAAACCTCAAATATATTTTACATAAAATTATTACTTAAAGCCTAAGCTAGTAAACATTTTCTGTTTAGTTTTTTGATTATTTTAAAATTGAGCTAATGTTTGAATGATTTTTAATTGCTTTCATTACATTTATCATAAAATATTTAACAAAAAAATTTGCTTTATTTTAACAAAAAGTAATTATATTTACCTTTAAATTTTTTGATTGTTTTAATATTCAAAAACTTATGATGTTTTTATACAAAATAAATTATAAACAATGAATTATTTAAAAAATTTTTAAAAATAAAACATCATTTTCATAAAATTGATTTAAATATCAATTTTTCTTCTCAGATATTTAAACTCAACATCTCATCTGAGAAATTTAAATATATAAATAATAAATTTTCTGAAAAAACAATATTTGATAAACAAAATTGCAAATAAAAAGATAACTAACTAGCTATAAGCATAAAATAATAAATGAATACCTATAAATCTATAAGTTTGTATTCAACAAACATAGAAATATCAAATTACTCAGCGTAAATTTATTTATATATATTTTACTTATTTATTTAATCATTCATTTTAATTAGAAATAGCTAAAAGGGCAGTTTTGAATATGTTCTATTATCCAATTCAATAGAATAAGTAAAATTAATTTATTATAAATACAAAATGTTTAATTAGATTTTTTATATAGATAGATGAATATTCAGTCAATTTTGAATATGATACAGAAAACAATTTGAGTAGGCTAAATAATTTGAACAATAATGCAGCAGGATAAGTAAATACTTAAAATTTAGTATTTATTATACATAAACTTACAAATAAATTTTGTTTTGAAAAAAGATGTTCAAGAGTCGCCCATATATACAAAAATCATAATTGAATTGCTTGCGAAAATAAATGAAAAGGTAACTAAAAATTACTCTATTTTTTAAAATATAAATTTTGTAGATAATTAAAATATTAGATATTTATTTTATTATTTTGCTACAAGATTTAGCAAGAATTTAATTAATTATTCCCCAATTTAATTTTAATGTTAAATACTTCTATTAGTATTTTGATAATATTTATTTTTAATCAAAAATATTAAAAAAGAAAAGATAATCCACAATTACTAAATTCTAAAATTTTGTAGAAGTCATTTGGCCAGATCAGCTAATAATAAGAAATGCTTTCACTAAATAAAAGCCCATTATTATAAAGGTAATTGATATAACCAGGATAAGGCTAATAAAATAATCAGGTAAAATCTAAAAAACAGCACTAGAGCTATGGTATGGTTGGTAATTAAAAAATAAATGAAATGAATAGCGAATCTATATAAAGAAATGATTCTAAAAACTTTTCAAATTTGCCTAAGATAAAAAGCAGAAGATAGGTGAAGTAGAATTCTGACTCGTAAATCTAATAATAATTAAGACTACCATATATTTAAAATAAAAATTCTTAACAAAAGAGCATAAATTAATTTAAAAGAAATTCTAAAAATAATAGTTCTACTTCTCTAGAGTAAGAAATTAATCCAACATATCTTGAAAGAAAATAAATGAAATCAAATAAATTAACTGTAAATAATTTGAGAAGCGATAAAATATTAATAGATATTTTGCTTGCACTAAAAGATTTAAAAGTTAGTATTAATAAAGGTTTCTAAAATTTGTAAACAAGTTTACATAATGATATGGTAGATTTGAAAAAAAGTATTAAAGGAGAGCAAAAAAGTGTTGAAGAACTGAAAGAAAGTATTGAAGAAGTGAAAAAAAGTATTGAAGGAGTGAAATATGGTATTCGTTATATTGCTGATAGTTAAAACCAATACCATGATTAAAATATGAATAAACTTAATATTATTCTTAGATGCTTTAGATAATAATATCCAAAAAATCAATATCCTTTACTGGGTGAATACATCGAAGAAGGATTATACGAAAGATATAATAGACATTTAAATTAATTTTGATTAAAGAATTATATATATTATTTTTGAATTAAAACCAATGAATTTATATACAAATTACCTTGTAGCAAATTATGAAAGAGAAAAATGTTTATAATTATATTATTAATTATTTTTTACTTTTATTAAGATGTATTTTACTTTTATATTTATTGGTATTTTTTTTTGATGTAATTTCTGATATTAAAATTCAACCAAAAAAATAGATTAAATAATATTCTTGTAGAATAAATTAAATAAATAAACATTTTTTATATCTCAATATTTTATCTAAAAGAAAAAAGAAATACAGAAAATTCATCTAACTAACTAACTAAAATAATAAAATATTCTTAGTTTTTTTTACAATAATTAATATAATAATATGATATTTGTATGAATTACATTTTAAGTTAAAATAAGAATTTATTAACATCATAAATAAAAGTTAGGATTTTAATATACTTAAGTTTGATATCAACGAATTAAGATATTTCGAAGGAGAAAAACTAAATTTTGACTCCATTTTATATATTTAATGCGGGAATAATTAAAAAAGGATTTTTATATTAAAAGTGAATTAAATTCTTACTGAACTCAGTTTAATTTCAAAAATAAAAAATTAAAAATTTAATCTTTAAAGCTATTCTTAAAAAAATGAATTATATTTGTAATTAAAGCTAAGATGATTTGCAAAAGACTAAATAAATATAAACTGAGAAATTTACTAAATGCCCAACTCATCATAAATAATAACTGATTTTATTAAAGCTATCTGATAAAGATACCAAAGATGATTAAGCTCTTAAGTGTTTAGATTGCATATACGTACAATCATAAAATAAATTTTCGATGACTCTTAAATTTATGAAGATCTTGTTAAAATTTCAATGAAATCAATTTGTTTTTACTATGAATAAGTAAAAGTTTACTTTAAGCAACTAAAATCTCAAATAAATTACCATTTAGAGTAAAAGCAAAATCAAATAATTTAAAATCTTAATTAGAATAAAGATTTTAAGAAATTTTAGATGAATATAATTTTATGTCATACAATAATAAATACTAAAGGATATTCTAATCAATTAGAATCAAGATTTTTCAAAGTAAAATTAGATGTTTAAAGATGTCCTAAAAGATAATAAATCAAATTATACAAATAAAAAACCAAAATTCTATGTTTGATCAATAAAATAAAGAAGTGTAAAACCTTACTTACTACTTATAAAGAATAGTTATAAAAATTAATAAAAATAATTCAAAATTTTTGACCTAGAGAGAATCATCATAAAAATATGTAAACAAACAAATTAATGAAATTATTAAATTCATAAAAATATTTAATTTAATACTTTTATTTCAGCTTTGAAAAGGATCAAAATTTAAAATATGGAAGATCTCAGAAACTAATTGTTAAGATTTTTAAAATATCAAGATAGACTTTTGGTAAAGATTTAACTTTCTATTTTTTTACAAAAATGTTTAATAAAAGCTAAATAAATTTCTTTGGGAGTGGAAGATTCTTAGGCCATCTAAAAGCTTAAAAATATTAGCTCGTTGAAACTTAAATTAATGTAAAATCTATTTTTTACATAATAATTTTATAAACAGATTAATAATATTATGAGAATTAATTAAATTTGTTTTGCGAATAGGTAAATAAATTTGTTTATTTGTTTGTTTGTTTGTTTGTATTTATCTACTTTTAACAAATGAGAAATAATTAGATAGCAAAAGAAATCCATCCATAACTTAACTCTGAATTTTTTGAAAATTTTTTTTATTATTAAAACTAATTTGAAAATAAATTAAAATAATTAATAACTAAAAGAGCTTTAAAAACAATTTCATTGATTTTTTAATAAATTAATTTTTTTAAAAATATTATTTGTTGCAGAAAAAAAGGTAATTAATTAATTTCTTACAAAATTATTTGGAAAATTGAATTTTATTAGATATCAAAATAGCTTTGTTCATACTTTACTTTTTTTGATCATAAACAATTATTTAATTTTAAAAGATTAAATTAATAGGTGTTTATACTGAATATTTAAAAATAGAAAAAAGAAAAATGATTTAACAAAAATAAATTAATTGTAACCTCCAATTGGTAGTTAATTAACATTTTAATCATCATTTAAATTTTCTTTTTTTTAAATAAAGTTTTTAAGCTCGAATTTAGAAACACATTTAAATATTTAAATAGATCTTTCGTAATAATATTTTAATTTGATTCAAATTATTTATTGGCTTTGATAAACTTAAAAAGAGCTAACAGAAAATAATTTCTTGCTCTTAATTATTAATAAAACTCCATAATTTTTATTTTTCTGAAATCTATTTAAGCTCATCATTTTATATTTTTTAAAGAGATAAAAATATACAAGATAAAGATAGATGCCTCAAAATTAGGTTTGGTTCTAGCAGATTGTACCAATTTATCTACTCTTTCTTACTCTAAACTTTTGGTAAAAAAACTAACAAACACAATTAATTTAAAAAACAAATAAATAAATATTGTTTTAATTTATTTAATGCATGAACTAACTAACTTTTTAAATAGTTTGTTAATTTTTTATCATAAAAATATTTTTTATTTTTAATAATAAATACAGTTTTAACAAAATAACTAATAATGGCTTATATGATTTGAGCTCTGCATTAAAATAATGCACTAATCTATAAAACTTATCTGGTTAAATTTACTTTATAAATATATTTCTTTTATTCAATCATTTAACAAATAAATAAATGAAAAGATATTTTTTTAATTGGCTTCTATCTTATTAAAATTTCTAGATGCAAATATTTTTAATAACCTTACTAACTCTTTTATTAACTATTCCTTATTTTTTAGAAAATTTGAATAATATGATCCAATGGGATTTAATTTAATAAATAAAACTAAAAATATATTTACTGTCACACTTAATATTTTAGGTACTGTATATTTCTTCAAGTATTTTCATTTACTTTTTAACACTTTAAAATTACAAAAAACAATTAAAAAATAATTAAAATATTTTAAATGGAAACAACATTGGTGATGTTGGGGTTTCAGAGATAGGATGAATTTTCATTTATTAAATACATAAAACTTACAACATTAGAGCTTTATTTAAGGTAAAATAGTTCTTTAATTTTATTTACAAGTCATAATTTCTATGCTTATTCCTAAATTAAAACAATCTAATAATATTAATAATTATTTATTTATTTATTAAAAATTATTATTATATTTATTATAAATAATTAATTAACACTAATTTTCAGTATAGCACAATTAAAATTTTATTGTTATTTATTGAAATAATTTATTGATATATCAACTAAAATATCTTTTAAAGTTAAAATAACATTGGGTAAGAAGGTGTTTCTAACTTAGGTTCTGCTTTAGTGAATTTAACTAGCCTTACATCCTTAAATCTTAATTTGAAGTAATATTTTGAAGAAATTCTAATTTTTTAATAATAATTAGCATTTTTTTTTTTTGTTTTTCAAAGAAAGACATAAAGGTAATTTTATTATTTGCAAACAGGTATAATAGAATTTAAGCTTAAGGTTTTTCTCTTTTAGGTAAAGCTTTAGCAAGGTGCTCTAATCTCTAAATTTTGAAAATTTTTCTATAGTAAAACTAATTCATTTATTTAGATAATTTTAATTAAAAAAACAAATTTAAATAAAATACTTAAATCAATTAATTTTATTTAAAAATAACAATTCTTTAAACATAGGAATATTAATAACTATATAAAATATATTTCTTAAAGGCACAACTTAATAAGAGATAGTGGAGCATCTGATTTGGTTTTTAATTTAGTTAGCTGTAGTAATATCAAATCTTAGTCTTTTACTGAGGTAAGATATTTATTTATTTATTTATTTTATTTTTTTGTTTTTTTTTTAGTTTAAAATAAAATGACACTATTATAAATTATTAATTTTCATAAAAGTTAAAATAATATAAGTATCTAAGATGCTAAAATGTTTGTTCAGCATTATTAAACTTTTCTAAACTATCTTATTTGGAGCTTGATCCAATGTAATTTTTTGAAATTGATTTTTTACTTTTTCATTAAAAAAAAATTACTGTAAAATATTACAGCTTTTTAATTGATAAATAACATACTTAATACTAATAATTAACCTGATTAATATCATATTATTAAAAAAAAATGAATTGAAACTTATTAATAAAAATGAATGAAATAATAAAAATAAATACTCAAGAATTTTATTTCTAATTTTTTTTTTTCATTAAAAGAAAAATATGGATGGTATGTATCTTATTACTTACATATATTTTTTATTTTGAATCTTTAAAATTTTATTTAGATTTATTTCAACAATAAATTAATAGGTAAAATTAAATAAAATAGATTTAATAAAAAATCTAAAATAAACTTCAAAAAATAAAGAAAATGGTTATTAAATCTATAAATATTTGATTTATTTGGTGTTAACTGGTTGATAATAATTTGAAATATAAATTTACATTAGTATTTATCCATGAATATACTTTTGTAGTGAAATTTAAATATAAATCATAAATAAATAGAATAACTAGTTTTATCAATTTTTATTTTTATTTTTTTTTAATATTTCATCTTTTATGTACTAAATTAGTTTATACTTTAAATCCTCATATATTTTTAATCCTGAAATTAAAATATCACTTATTTTGTAGGCTCAAACATTTTTTTTAATTTTTAAAACAAAGACCTTAAATAAAAAATTATATGAGAATCTAAAGTAATTTAAAATTAATAATTTCTAAAATCTAAGAAATAAACAATTTCTGTTTGAACACAAACCAACTTTTATTTCACTACTAGTGTTAATAGATCAAACAGCTTTTATTAATCAAATATAAAATAATTCAATTTTTTTTGAAAAATGTTAAAAATTGTATTTAATGATTTATAAAATATTGAGAAAATTTAATAAGATTATTGATAATAAAATATTAACTACAAATATATTTATATATATATTTTTATAAGTATCTATGCATAACTAATAATTGCTTAACAAAAGTGAGTAAAATTTATAATTTATGTATATAATAAAGATGAAGTCAAACTTTTTAAGAGCAGTTGACTAAGAAATTAATAATTTATATAATTGCTGATTTGGAAAATTAAATTCAAACTAAATTTGTTTGAATTTCTAGCTCATTCATATTCATATTGATTAGACAAATAAGCTTTTTTGATTTTGGATTAGAGAGAATTATTATATCAATAGTGGAATTTCTCGAGATTTCTAAGTTCAGGATACCTTTGGTTAAAAGAAAAGACAAAGTTATTAACCCTTTAAATGCATTCTTTAGCATTTTAATGTTCAGATTAGGATATAAGCTCAAACATTTTCTCCATCTATTTATATGTAAAATATAAATTTAGAAATGAGTTTTATTGAAAATAAATAAAAAATAAATACAATTTAAACTTCTTGTTAAATCAAATCGTTATAAGGAGAAATACTGTCGCCTTTTAAATTCGAAAAATAAACTTTTAGTGAAACTACTATAGCCGAGAAAGCTAGTATGTGAGATTTGTAATCTAATAATTTGTCATCATGAACACATTACTTCAAAATATAGAGTGAAAAGTGAGTTAGCTATAAAATTGTTTGGTTTGTTTCAGAAGAGAATATTTTATATAAATAGCGATTCAGATAAGTATGAGTTGTTGGGAAATCTATTTTCATATCAACAATTCTTAAAATTTCATATTCTGCTTCTCTTATCTTTTTCCTATTTTTTAGTTTGTTTTGAAATTATTTTAGAGCAGGATTAAAAGCAATCATACAAATTTTAAAATTATTTGGAAGGAACCAAAATGTTAGTTAGTTAAAAGAATCAAGTAAAATATTTTAGAAAAAAGATATTAATAATAAATATTTACTCAGTAAATTTGTTGTGTCCAACTTTTTCAACAATATCATCTAGACTGATGTGAGAAATGTCTTCTTGCTTTGTGGCTAAGAACATAGCTGCAATACCAAATAAATGAACATCTGATTCAACAAGTTTTCTATTTTACAAATTAATTAATTTTAAACAAAATTTAAAAAGGGTTAAAAAATGTTAAAATAAATTTTAATGGTTAAAAACATATTTTTGTTTGGGAAATTATTAAATTTCGTAGATAATCTTGAAGTTAAGACATTCATTTCTTTAAAGTGAATCCTAAAGATAAATTAGATTTTGGGAAGAAAGTAATTTTAAGTTTTTACTTTGTTTATTTCTTAAAAAATAAATCAAGAAGACCAACAGCACGAAAGTAGGTTTTATCGGAAGATGTTTGCTTGTAATTACCAAAAACTTCAATCATCCAATCAACCATTTTAGATCTTAGAATTGAAGGAATTTTATGGTTCTTGAGGCAATTAGATAAATCAACCTTTGGTTTTAAAAACATTATTAATTTTTCTAGAAAAAATCTTTTTTAAATTAAGGTATCTTTTGAATTAATCAAAGATACAACAACAAAAAATCTGATTATTCTAATGATAAAACTATTAAATACTGAATAATCTGTTGTCTCAAAGAGCTTAATATAATTAAACAAATACCAGCAAAACAAAAAAGAAGATAGATAGATAGATAAATAAAATGAAAAAAATGTTTACTTCTTGATTGAGGAGATTTAAATCCTCATAATCTCCATATAGTTAATTGTACCTCCATTATCTATCACGAAGTTTATCGCTATTAAAGTGTTAGCCAATTTGTTAATTTCCTTCCTCACTATCAAAAGAATCGTCTTCGTCTTCCTCCATTATGTTTTATTGCTCTTCATAAAAGGCAATTTCTTATTTATCATCCTCCATGAAATTCTCTTTATCAATTTAGCTTTCGCAGATAATTTATCCACTAGTGAATCCAATCTTTAAGTTCTTTTTAGCCTTCTCTAGCTTTTTTTCTTTTAAGATTTCCTCTTGTTCCATTTTAGAGGTAGAAAGGAACATCAAAGCACTGTTTTGTGACTTCTTGTTGCATTATTTATTGTTTTAGAGCTTAGGTCCAATTCTAAAATTAAAAGCAGGTTAAGCAAAAGCAGTAAATAATTAAAAATCTTACTTAGGAATGTCCTTTTTGTTGGGATTTTTGTTGTTGTTGTTGTTATTGTTATTGTTCTAGTCTTCCATTTATTTAATCACGAAATCAATAGTATTTAGATTATTTGCAAGCAAAAGGTTTTTTTATATTATTTATTATTTTTTTTGATTTTATAATTAATTATTAAACAAATATTGATTAGTGGTTATTATTTAAATCGTTATAAAATAATTGAAAATATAATGAAGCATTGAAACTATGAATTGAAAACGTAATTAATTAATTAAAATAATTGATTTTTATAATCATAATATTAAATCAAGTGAAACTTTAATGTATCTTTAAAGTATCTATCTCTTTTCTGATAAAAAAACAATCTAATTAAAAATCATCTCAAAAATAAATTGTAATCTCAAATTTAAAATTCTACAATCAAATAAATTTAATTTTCTATGATTTTCTTTCATTTCTTAAAATTTCTTAACAATATTTTGTGTAAACTTCTTATAAATCCTTTAAAAAGTGCATTTTTCTTATTTTTTCTATTCTTATTTTAACTTTTTCATCTGTTGATCTCTCGAAAATTTTTATTTTTCATAGCAAATTGGGTCTTTTTGTAAAAATTATATATCTAATATCTTTAACAACTGAAAAATATGAATTAAAAGTGTGGTTAACTTTAAATTTTATTTAAAGTAACAGTAATTTTTAGCTTTTAAAGATTTAAAGCAAACATATTGATGTATTTTCTAACTTTTTTAAATTTTGCTTTTCATAATCTTGAGTAATCAAAAAAAAAAACTATTTCTCGTTTGTTGGTAAATAATTAATACAAATCATAGATTAGAATATATATTAACAGGGAGTTATAGACATTCTTTCCAAAAATAGGAAATGTTATTTATAAAAAACCTTCATAAATCTAAATAATTTATTTTAGTATTTATTTGAATATAACAACTTCATAAACGTAATTAAAAATGATTAGTAAAATATTTTATATTTTAAATGATCAATAATTGATCTTTAATAACAAATATTTTCTTGTAGATTTCATGATATTTTGAAAATTCTTAGAAAAGAAATTAAAAAAGGAAATTTACTCGAAAAAATTTTAATAATCTGTTCTTAATCATATCTTAAATTGAAATTATATCAAAAAAATCTTATAATAATTTAATTAAAATATAAATATTAAAAATCAAAGCATTTATTTCACAGTAAATTAAAGGTGATAAATAAATAAGTAGCTGAGTCTGTCAAATTAGACTTTATATTTATATTTCTATATTATTTTCTTTTATTTAATCTTAGATTTTTATGTATTTGTATTGTTAATTTATTTGTTTATTTGTTTAGTTTTATTTATTGTTTTAATTTTTATTTATTTATTTATTTTATTTTATTTATTTTCATTTTTATTATATTTTATGTTTTTATGTGCTATTTGTTAAGTTTTTTTTGTGCTATTTGTTTGGTTTTTTTGCTCTTTTATTTTAGTTTTTCTCTTTATTATTTATTTATTTTTTTAATTAAATCTTTTTTTTTAGAGTCTTTTGCTTCAAAATGGCCTATTTTTATATTAGTTAATATAAAATTATTGGAAGACGGACTAGGTCAACGTCTTATTTGGGAAAAGACTAACTTTTTGAAAAACTGGGCTTTGTAAACAAGAATTTTTCTCCTCAGATTTAAAAAACTTCGTTTGAAAGTTTGCATAGTTCATACTATCTCAAGTTCTTTGTTCCATTTTATTAGCTTCGAGATTATCTAATAATTTTTGGAACGAGATAAAAAGAAATGGATATTTTATCTACGGGCTAGATAAAAAATCCAAATTCTTATTAAAAACTTCGATAAGAACTTTATTGATTTCTGACTATGTTGAAAGCCAAGTGGTAGCCTCTGCTCGGGGAAAACGCATCACGATCCAGGCTTAAAAAACTTGTACCCGAGCTTTGGCTGCACCTGTATTTCTTATTACCAAACTTTCAATCCTTGAATTCAAGTTGACTTCTCACTCACTCTCTAACTTCTAGGAAAAACTTAGGAGCATTGTTGCTTATTTCCTCTCAGCAATTTCATTATGAAAATCCTTTTCGGAGTTACCAAGCTGAAATTGGAACTTTATCCCGAAATCGGCATCGCGTAAAATGCTCACTTTATTTGAATGTGTTCTTTTGCAAGAATCTTTAAAGTGTGTTTTCATATTACTTTTGCATCCCCGAAGAAATAAGTTAAATGCAAAATAAATTGCATTTAAATTTCCGAATGAATTAAAAAAACCTTTTAAAAACTTGGTTTATTAGAAAGCGAGGGTCTCCTGAACAAGGTTCAGCATTTACCGAAAGGAAGACGATTTAAAAATAAATGGATTGTAAATTCTTGTCTGTTGGTGCTTAAATTAATTATTTTTATCTGCATACTTTGCTTTTTTTATGCTTTTTAACAGATTTTTGTTTTTTTAATTGATTTATTTGAAAAATCAAAAGAAAATAATCAATCTTAATTTTTATTTCAAAATTTAAATTCATAAATTTAAGATATTGAGCGCCTTTCCTAAATTTAAATTTTTGATATATTTGGATTGGCAATTTAATTTCTTATAATAATTTTTAATTAAAAAAATTAGAAAAAGGAAAAAAAAAATAATCAAAAAAGAGAAACAGAAAATTTAGCATCAAAGTTTTTTAATCCCCAACAGTCAGGGAAAAATCGTGCAAACAAAGTTTTTAAAGTGAAAATATAAATAAATATGGCATAAATTTTCTGTGAACTCTAATAAATCTCGATTAAGTCGAAGTGAAATATCAAAACTATTTTTAAAATACACAAATCAACAAGTCTCCTCATCTCTCTACTCTTAAAATTAGTTAATTTATAAAAATATTTTTTAAAACTAGGCATCTAAAAAAGATATTAAGAAGAAAAAAGCATTAAAAAAGATAATAAATAAAAATAATAAAAAGAAAACAAGAATAATTAAAAAGGAAAACAAAGATAAAAACAAATAAACCCAAAATAAAAAATAAAAAAAATTAAATTAATAAGTAAAAAGAATAACTACGCAAACAATTTATTTTGCTTCTGATACAAATTATGCTTTATTTTATTTATATTATGAAATATTTTTTTAAAAGAAATGTATTTTCAATCTAAAATTGTATCAAGGCAACTACACAGTGCTTAATTTAATATTTCTCCATTTATTTAGTCAAAAATAATATTAATATTGATTATATAATTTGTTGAATTGTCTAGTATCCTTATGATTTTTTTAGTTTTTATTTATTGAATTCTGAAAATAGTGAAGTATCAAAAAATCAAAATAGAAGAAGGAACAATTTGCAAAAAAAGTTGAATTTCATTTCAAAATATAAAATATTATCAAAATATTAACAATTTTGTTGTTTTTTTATTAAAGAACATATAAGAAACTTAATAATTTCTAACTAAATCTTATATTTAAAAAATATTTATTTGTTTTTTAGTAAAGAACAGAACAGATAAGAAACTGTATAATAACTAGCTAAATCTTATATTTTTAACAATTTTTTTATAAAAAAGTTTATTTGAAATGGTTATTTCTTTTGTATTTTATTTTCTATCTAACTTGGGTAATAAATATTATTGAATTTTTATTAAATTTTTTTGAAATAAATTATTAATTTTTCTTTTACAAAATACTAAAATAAATTATAAACAAAAATCATTTGGTTGAACCAGGTTTTGAAAATTAAAGTTAAAGTTTTTTTTCTTGTGCTGATGTATCTTCAGAATCTGGTATCCACCTAATTTGTTTTCCGTCTTACCATTCTCCCTTTGACTTTTATCCATTTTTTTGTATTATATGTCCTATGCCATGAGGTTAGTCATTCAACCAATATCCTTCATATGTTTTTTCGTTGTTAGGCCAATGGAATACTCCAAATCCTTCTTTTTTGTCATTAAAATAGTTTCCTTCGTAAATTCTATCATCAGGCCACTTGAACCAGCCTTTTCCATTCATCTTTCCACTAGACCATTCACCTCTATATTCTCTTCCATCTTTCCATTTATAGATGCCATAACCATGAATTTGATTTTTATAAAAATACCCATCATAGCTGCTTCCATCAGGCCATGTAAAGACCCCTTTTCCGTCTCTGTAACCTTTTTTATTTTTAATTTTGACCATTTATTTTTAAATTAATTAAAATTTTAGTAAATATTTACCTTAACGATAGTAACCTTAGTAAACACTACCTTAATTCCATGTTTTTACACCATACCCATCATACAAATCTTCAAACCATTCTCCTTCGTATTTAGTTCCGTTTGGATACCTATAAATACCTCTTCCATGAGCTTTGCCATTCATCCAATCACCTTCATATCTATTTAAAAAAGCAAAAAATACCAATTAATAAAAATATTTTTAATTTAATTTAAAAAAATTTTAAATAACGTTTAAATTTATTATTTACATATTGCCATTAGGATGAATAATTCTTCCATATCCATTAGCTTAGTTATTTTTCCAGTAACCTACATAGACACTTCCATCTTTTAAAATCCCTAAACCTTTTCCATGTCTTTAGCCATCTTTCCATTATCCACTGTAGATTTAGCCATTAGTAGTGTTTTTCATGACAGGTAGTGTAGAGTACTCAGAATCTGTATGATCAGTAGGAAGTATGTATTAAAATTCTCCTATTTACTTATCTGCAGCTTCAGTTAAGCTTTTAATATCTGGTACTTCTTCTTCATTTATTTAAATCCACTCCTCTTTTGGCTTATTTCTTTCTTAGTTTTCTTTTTAAATATCTCTTATTTTATATACAGGTAAAGAGCCTTGTTGATTTAATTGTTAATTCTCTTTTTAATTATTTTCAGCTTTCGTTGCAGATTCTCCTTGTTACTTTTTATCAGCCTCTTACTTTTAATTATTATATGCTATTTAAGATTCTGGAGAGGTTGCTTCTTTAACATTGCTACCATTTTGTTTCTAATTGCTGTCTTAATTTTTAATTTAGCTGCCTGTATTATTTTAAGGAGGATTATCAACATACATAAGATCCTTTAGAAGTGAGAAACTTCCATTATTTTTAGAATTAGAATCTTTAAAAGGACTAAAAGGCATATTTGATTCATGGTTATCTTAAGAAAGAAGTGAATCATTTAGGTTAGATTGGCTCAATCTCTAGTTATTACCTCTTTTTTTATTGTTATTTTCCAAATCAAGAAGAAGAATGCAGTCGTTTAGATTAAATTTAGAGCCATTATTCCCTATTTAGTTTTTATCAAACTTTACTGTTTTATAACTTTTAGTATTTCTTTGCATGACTGGGTAGTGATTATTGTTGGATTAATTCATTGAATTAAGCAAACTTCTTCCATTAAAGGAGTTATTATTAGGATTAAGAACTTCTCTTTTTAGCATGTACTGCTTGTTAGGAGCTGATCTTTCATTTTAATAACCTGAAGGATCCGTTATCAATATTTATGATTTATTTTTATCTGATGAGCGAGGTCTTGCATAGTTAGGAACATTTTTTTGGTTAAACCTTGTTTCTGAAGAATTACGTCCTATAGTAGGTAGTTTAGTGGTCTAACCTTAATTTTTATTTTGTTATTCCCCTAAACTTTAGGCTACAATTTCTTCCATTTTTTTAATTTATCCTCCTAAATCTCTAATTAAATTATCAGTTTCAATAGTTAACTAGCTAAAATATTAATCCAATCTATCATTTGCAAAATAAAAGAATTTGTTCCTAGATATAGATTTTGAATTAGATAAATACTCGCTATAATTCTCATTTCTGTAAATTTTTGTTAAAATTTCAATATCCTCTTTAGAATGCAGTTTATAACTACGGTGAAGAATTTTATATAATTCATTATTAAACTCATGAATATCATCGCAAATATCTTAATTTTCTGCTTACTCGTAGATATTTTAAGTTGATTCAATAATAGTTGATATTCTCTCCCTAGATATTTTTATAGATCTTTAAAAAGATTTCACTAATTCATTCAGCTTATCTTTCACAGTTTTTTGTAACCTTTACTAAAATATCAATTTAATGTCATTTTCTTCCACCATTTCTTCAAAACGCTTTGTCAATTTCTCAGCATCAACAACCACCTTTGACGAAAATTCCTTAAGTTTAATAACTTTCTCCTTTTAATGGCTTCCGTGATAAAGTTATTTGCAATACATGCAGCATAAACGACTCTCTGCTGTACAATCTTTATATGTGCAAATATAATCTATTCTTTCACGCTAATGATCCTTAATATTGCATTTAAATTCATTATCTACTTAAAGAAGATGATTCGAATTTTGAGAATTTCCATTGTTATTTGAGTAACTTCCATTATTATTATTATTGTTCATTGTGCGATTATATGAAATAGAGTTTGATGACAATGTATTAGCTTTTCTCATATTTATAAATATCTTTTAAAATGCAGTATCCTATAATAATAATCAATATTCTATGACAAATTTTAGTTTCTTTCCAGGTATTTTCTATTATCAAAAAGTATGAGGACTTTAATTCGAATAATACTAAAACTTTAAAAGCTATTTTATAATGAAAAAAAAAGATCTACTTCCTAAAAGCGAAGTTATATGTTTTGCTTTTTAGTTAATATTTTAAGCTTTGTAATATAATATTAAAATATAAAAAAGGTGAAAAACTAATTTTTGATTTTTTTTTTTTTTAATTAGCTTTCTATAAAATAGAGATTGAAATAAGTGGTAAAAACAAGTATTCTAATTTAGAAATTAAGGTTTTTAATGGATATTAGATTCTGCTATCACTTCACTTACAATCCTCTTCCACTCAATACAATTTAATATTAAAAAAATAAAAAATCTTTAAGTAGTGGTCATAATTTATTATTATAAAAATTAAATATTTTGATTTGTCATTTCAAGATATTATTTTTAAAATCCACAAATAAATTTGTTTCAGTTTTATATCTATCAAGTAACAAAATAAAAAAAACAATATCATAAAATGTTATCTTTGATATAAAGAAGAAAGAATATTTAATAAATAAAATTTGATATAAATAAAAACTTAGCTATTATTTATTTATTTATCTTTTATTATCAAATTTAGGCAATAAAATTAACTTATGAATAAACAAATCGAAATAAGGAAATATTTTATAATTTATAATTGAAAGAATATTGTTGAATACATTAAAATATTAATTAAACTAATTGTATTTATTATTAATTTGTTTAAATTTTAAATAATTTTCAATTGATTATTTCAGAGGATTGTTAAAGCTATTTAAAATAATCTTTAAAGTTTTTTAAAGTCATTATGTTAAACAAACCTCCTTAGAGGTCGTATAAAACATTTTTTTATATTTTTTAGATTTCCTTGTCAAGAATATAATCTAAGTCATTTTTACTTTAATTTTATGAAGGACTTTTAAATGTCATCACATCCTTGACTAGTACTTCAATTTATTCAAAGTCAGAATCGTTTGTAATTTTCATAGATTTTCTGAGCATTTAAATTATTTCTTCAACCAATTTTCTATCCTTTTCGACTTGCTTGGATTTCTTTTTACTTTCGATTCCTTTTATTTTTGCTAGTTTCTCTAATTTTTGGCTTGTTTGGGATCTATTTAGAGCATCTGTTATAGCTTTTAGTTATTTTTTAGAGAATTCCTCACAGAGTTCTGGCATTTCTCCTATTTCATTAGCTCCATTTTCAGCCAAAAATTAAATTACTTTATCTATGTCTCCTCCAACCAATTAAACTAAATCAACTCCTGCTGCTTGTACAGCTTTAACCACTTCATCTATTTTTAAATGTTTAATTAATTTACATAAAACTTGATAATTAAATTCATTTTACCATATATTTATTAATTCAAAACTTCAGCATTGTTTTACTTCACCTAATCTATATCAGATGAATTTTTTTTAAGCTCTTAAACAAGAGATTGCATTTTAGTTTTGCTCAGACAATCTTAAATTTTATCATTTAAAAACAAAGATTCAGCTCCATCATAAATCATTTTAGGCTCAATCTGTTCTCTAAAATACTGCTCAAGATTAGGTATTTCAGATTATAAAATATATAACACGTTTGCATCTTTAGCTGCTTTACAAAAAGTTTTAAATAAATCAATTTAAGGTTCCTCAACTGGCTCTATTTCTGGTAAAACTTCTTCTTATACGACTTCTTCTTCTTCAGGCAAGCCAAGTTTTTATCTCATACGACGTTTAATCATTTCTTTCTGCATATCATTTTAATATGGATCCATTTCTAAATTATTAGCTTTACTCCTTTGTTCCATGTGAGCCCTTTGATTTGCTAAAATTTTATGTAAACCCTCTCTCTCAAAATAACCTGGTTATAGAGCTTATCTACTTTCTATTAAATCGTTTCTAAGCATGAGAAGCTCTGCTTAGCCTCCTAACTATGCACGCTCAATATCTTCTAAACGCTCTGCTAGTATTTATTACCCTTATTTATAACGCTTGTTTTAAGCTTCTTCTATACAATCTTGTAGAGCTTTAGCTCCCTTCACACGCAAGAAATTCATTTGAACTTCTTTATTGTAAACATCCTTAATCTATTTTGGGATGACTGCATTTTAACTATAAACTTAAAGATTAAGAATAGCTTATCTTTTTATTCTTTATGGCTAACTTGCAATAGTAAATGCAGTAATTTCAACAATAACAAACGCCATCTCTGCTCCATTTTATACGAAGTTTTAATTAACAAATGCTGGTATAAATAACTCACACATATAATCTTTAGATGTTCCTAAAAGAAGATGGTTGAGCTTTATACAGTACTCCCATCCACCATTTGTATCTTAATCAGTTAATAAATGCCACATATCTCCATAATTTCTAACTATGTTAACGTCTTTTGATAATTCTTTAACACTCTTTACTTTTATCAAAACGTCTTATCCTATAACACTGAATAAGCCACCAAGAGCATCGACGAAAAACATATCAACTTAATCTATTTTTTCTATGTAATAAAAAGATCCCTATTTTTTACAATAATCATTAAATATTTTTAGGATTTAAAAATACAAAAGTAACAATTTAAAAAAAATGTTTACATCTTTCAATTTACTAATTTAGTTCATCAAAATTGGATCATGGTCTCTACCAAATCCAAAGCAGTTTATAGAAAATCTTTATTTTTAATTAAAAGTAAAAAATAAAAATCAATTTGGTTAATTTTAAAAATTATACTATTCATTAATGCTCATATTTTTCAGAGTTACTGCTACTCTATCTTATGCTTTACTATCTAATCCATCACTAAGTAAAAACACTGATGTAACTGGGTTGCAATATTTTCTTGTCTTTATAAATTTGAATGCTTCTGTCATTCCTAAATTGATATCAGTTCCTCCTTATGCTCTTATATCAGAAATATATTATTTCAGTTTGAGTTTATTGGTTGTATCCATAGATTTCATTGGTCTAAATGTAACCTCTGAATTAAATAATACCAAACCTAATCTATCTTTTTCATCAAGCTAATCGATAAGGTAAAGCAATGTTTCTTTAAGCATGTTTATTTTCTCTCCGTGCATCGAGCCACTGTTATCCTATTTTTAGTATGATATTTAAGTATATCTTGATATTTTTTTTAATCGCCATAAATTGTTATTTTAATTCAATAAATTTTTTTAAATTAATAATTTCCATTTATTTTATGAAAAATTACAAATGACTTTTTATTAGAAATAAATTCAATTATTTTTTTTTTTAAAAAACAACAGTGTAAGTTTATTTTTAAGATTAAATTTAGAATTACCATGACACATATCAAGTCGATAGGAGGTCTTTAGTAAGCTTTTGCATCAAAATTACCTTTAGTATTTAATGAAATCATAACAGGTATTTGCTATGATTGTTCAAATAATTAAATATAATTTTAAGTTGACTAGATATTTATTTCGAGTTAATTTTCAAGCATTTGATGATCAGTGCTAATAAAATTAGGATTAAACGAGCTGTTGTCTAAGATTTAAGAGTTCATAGGACTTAATACTGGACTTTGATTTAAATTTCCTTACGATTTATTAGATAATCTATTTGCTTATTATTCTTTTTAAAAATAAATAGAAATTAAATTAAAATTTAATTAATAATAAAAATTATTTCGATATACAAAACTTGTTTAATGTTGACAATGACTCAATTTAGTAATATTAAAAATAAGTGATTTAATTAAATGATAGATCTCATTTTTATTTAAATAATATTCTATTTGGATTTATTAATGGGTGGAGAGCATTTAATTAAGTTTATATGTTACTTTTATTAAGCTATTTTCTGAAAAAAAAATTGATGATAGTGCAAATAATTCTGGATTAATTTAATTTTTTCAGTAAAAATACAATTTACAACTCAAATTAAAAATCTTTTAGATCTTTCCTTTTTTTTAATGGTAATTTATGGCTCTTTTATTAAGTCGATTATTAGAAATTTTTTCATATATAAATTGAAAAATTGAATAGAAATTATGTTCATATAGAAAATTATCTATTACAAATAGGGTCATATGTGGAAGCTTGCATCTTTTTGTGTGGACTCTGTAAGCTGCTATTTGTAGATTTATTCAATAGCTTTAAATTCTATAACTGTTATTGATTGTTTCTATTAATTGGTGATTGTGATTATCTTACACTGCTGTGCATACTCTAATTAGCTTTGTTAGAGTTAAAGACGCTGAACGATTAATTATATTATTGTTAATACTATTGCATCGTTTATGCTACAACAACATCTCCATCTTATACTAATTTATAGAGAGGAGTATTATCTGATGGTAGAATATTACCGTTTATATGCAAAACTATGCTTTACACTTTAACTTGCTTAAGCTATGCTATATCCATGTAAACCTAACCTAATTTTGTATTAATGTCATGCTCTGTGTCAAATTCTTATATGTTATCATCTATATTCACTCTAATTACGAACTTTATTAACCCTTAAGGAGGAGTGCTTAACTATGCTCTTTGAATGTGAGTTTAATTACTCAACTAACTAAAATTAGCCTTAAAATTCATTAAAATACTTAAAATTAATGATTCAATTTAATCTTTAAAAAGTTACAAAGTTTTAGCTAAAATTTGGGGAGTTTTCATTATCCAACTAAGAAAGCTAGTTTATATTTGTCATACTTTTAGGACTAACAAAAAATGATTTTGATTTGTGAGAAATAGTTGCTTGAGTCCTTTTTAGCGATAATTTAAAAACTAATAAATAAATATTTATTATTTATAAAAGAAAAAGCTACGTATTAGATGGAGAAAAGTTTCCCAGATTATCTTGAGATTCAGCTCTTTTGAATGTTTGATTATTTTTTAGCTACTCGTTGTTCTTAAATACAACTTTTATAAATAAAAAATGTTTATTTAATGTAAGCTAAAATGTCAACAAATGATCAAATGAAGTAATATAAATTTTAGAATAAAAAAAATATCTAATCATATACTTTAAGAATCAGCATTCGATTTATCATTTATGTAGCTGAGCCTCATTTAGCTATTTTAGCTGTGATTCATCATTAGTTCAATTAAAATTCGCTTTTTCTATTTACTATTTAAAGAAATTTTAGAATTATATTATTTGATCTATTTATTAACAATTAATTTTTAAAGTTAGATCTATTTATTTTTTAATTGAAATATCCTTAATAATCAAGCTTATTTTCATTCATTCATTCTTTTTTGTCATCTTACTGCTTAAAATAAACAAAAAAGAAATATCAAATATTTGAAAATTTTAACACACAAATTATAATCCAATCATTTATTTGTGTATATTTTTTATTTTGACTTTAACTTTTTTAATTTAATAAAAATCATTAAAATTGTTAATTTTTTCGACTATTACATCTATTTATTAAATATTTTTAACTTAAGAATATATAAAATACTTCATAAGTAAAAATTCTAGCTCATATTTCAATTCTATCACTTTTCATTATAAATACCTTGTATATTCACTTTATTAATATTTTTAAATTAGTGACATAAATAGGTATTTTTACAATTATTCATGGTTTTTTATTACAAAATTAAATTTAAATATTCAGAGAAAAGAAGAAATTACACTATTTTATATACAAAGTGATATAAGATTCTCTAAATTAAAACCTTTAAATTAAGAGTATTTATATAGTTTTCGAGTTAATTTTTGTGATAATTTTATAATAATTCAATAAATTTTTAATTAATTTTATAATTTTTTATAATTTTTAAAAATAAAAGTAAAATTAAATTTTAAAATCTGGCTGGTTTATATATATAAAAAAGAATAATAAAATGAAAAATGTTATTAATAAATTAATCATTAGAAGCGAGGTTTTAATTCTGCTTCAAATTCTTAAAGTCTAAAGAAACCCATATCTCTTAAATCGAAGTGCTACATAATTTATGGGATTTCCTCTCTATTGACAAATACTCCAATTTTTACAAGGAATTGGCGCAAGTTTTATTTATTTACAGAATCCTCAGGACCATCACACAAACTTGTAAATAATTAGGCACTAGTTATTTATTTTTATTCTATTTTTTTTCTAATCTACTCAAGTACTATTTCAGAATTAAGTAAAGATTTCATTAGCTTTGCCATAAGCTCTCTAGTATCTTATCTCATATTTTTCTATACAAATTTAATTAATTATAAATAATTTAAAACAAAAACTTACTTCACTAATATAAGGCTTTCTAACAAATATGCTTTCAATATGAGAATAGGTTTTTGGCACAACCATATTGATGAACTCTTATTAACTTTTTTTATAAAAAAAGAATAAAATTCAATAAATATACTTTATTTTATTTAGCTTACTCTATTTTATTATTTTTATCAATAGAGTAACGATTAACTAAGAGTCTAACATCGTTTTATTCTGCTTGTATTCCTAGCTTTTTAAGTCCTTACACAAATTCCTCAACAATTATGTAACCAGACTCATTAGCATCGAAGATCTCATAAAACAATTAGACTGAATAATCTTACTATCTAACAATCTTAATTCTATTTAAATAAAATATAATTATTAAATAATGTAATATTTTATTCAAAATAAACATTACCTGTTATTTTCTATTTCTCTTTCTAAATCAATAATTGCTTGCATGTACTCTTTTACTAGATCAGTTGGTCTTTTTTCAAACATAAAGTTTAAATCTCTCTCCTTTAAAGCTTCTTCATTAATATAAAATCTCTACGCATCCTAAGAACTCAAAGTAGAGAATCTTACATTGTTTTGATTGAAATCTCTATTTTAATTTAAAAACTAATAACTTTGTCTAATGTTAAATGAGTCAATCCTGTTTTGAGCAACTAAATTTGACTAATAAAGAGATTAATTTTAGAATCTTTTAAACCCGCTTTAATCCAAAGATCTTTATCCTATTCTATCTTATTGCAGTCTGCTTTCTATCAATTTTCTAGTTTATAAATCTGTATCTTCTTTGAATACGATTTTTTGACTTGCTAAGAATGAGTATGGGGCACTTTAATTATTTTCAAACATAGCAGTTCTTTTTGCTGGTTCATATTGATTACTATAATTTGTGTAATCAAATGCAGGAGGTGCTACTTACGAAACATTTTAAGAATATAACTGCTAATTTTTATAGTTTTATTGTCCTTCAAATTGATTCCTTTCTTCGAATCTATATGTTGATCTTTAATTATTTTCGTTAGTTACTGATCTTTGATATGCATTGAATTGCCTTGTCTATTCATTCTATTGATTATACTGTCTATTGTATTCGAATTAATTTAATCTAGAATCGTCTTTTGAAAATTCTTGCCATCTTTAACTTCTTTATTCATCATACTTTTTAGAATAAGGTGATTTATTGGTAAATAAAGGTTTAGTAAAATCTTCATCGTTTGTTTAAACCCTATTGCTAGAAATAGGAGACAAAATTCTAATTTAGCTTGTTTATAGAATAGGCTTTGATTCTATTAAATAGCTTGTTTTTTAAGGCACTAAATGCACCTATGTTGTATTAGGTACACTAGTTGTAGTATAGGTTATATTAGGAGGATTTTATACAACTATATTTTGGTTTGGAACTTAAATTGGGACAGGTTAAATGTAACTTTACACAATAGGAATAGTATTAGTGGGTGTGGTTTAACTAACATAACTCATAGCAGGCTAATAAGAGTAGGTTACTAATTATGGCTGAGTTTATTATATTATAGGTTTATTGTTTATTAATTGTTATTGGTTTGATTACTAAATTATGCTGCCTTATTAAATTGTATTTTAGTTAGCTGTTATATTTTGTTAGGTATTCTATGCTTGATTATTATTTGTAATATTAGAAGTAACATTTTTATTTAAAATGTTGTTAGATGCACTGAAATTTTAAGCTAAAGCAGCAGATGATGATTTAATGAATTAAGGTGATTGATATGATTCATTTTGCTTAGAAGCCGTCTATTGATAGACAAAATTTTTAGGTGAGTGATTGCTTAACTAGCTTTGATTTTGGTTTAACTTTTTAGTATCTTCAAAGGGAGAGGCATATTTCCCTTAGGTAACTCCGTATGAATTGCTAGGAAGTGTAGATAGTAGCTATATAGTTTACTAACCATTTTGCTGTTGATTTAAATTATTGCTTTACAAACCCTTTGCATCAAGTTTGATTGGATTTGGGTTTTAGTAGTCGTAATTCAATGATGGCTAATACATTCAATGAAAACTATTTAATAAATTTAAAATAAAGATATATCACAAATTTTAATTAATTATATTAAAGATAATAAATTTATTTACCATGCAAATTTTTCTATTTAAGTTTTAAAGATAAATAAAAAAAATATTATTTACTGAGTAAAATTTATTATGGGGAAACAAACTGTATTTAAATTTCATTTTTATCTATTTTGAACGTTTTAAAGAATTTATTATATAAGCGAATTAATTTCCAAAAAAAGAATGAATGAATAAATGAATAAATAATATTTAAAATATTATATTTTTTAATTTTAAGATAAATTAAAAAATTGAAAACTGAAATATTTAAAATACTTTTAATTTATTTTAGTAAAAATTATTCATTTATATAAAAAATTCATAAAAAAGTATTTTATCAATATAAAATATTATCAAATAAATAATAATTAAAAGTAACTAACTTGAAATAAAATTTTATTTTAATATTTAAAGCAATTAATAATAATAACACTTTAATTTTAGAAATTTTATTTATGGCTGCTAACTAATGCTAGAATTTATTTTTTTCTTTATTTTAGTAAAATATTAGAAAAAAATACATTATTATTACGAGAATTTTATAAGTTTTTGAATAAATACGAAATCTTAAAATTAAACTAGCTTTATAAAGTTAATTTTATAAACTATTTATTTCAGTTACTGGTTCTATAGTATAGCGGTTAGTACTGGGGACTCTAAATCCCTTGACCTGGGTTCGAATCCCAGTAGGACCTTTTTTTT